TTTCTGCAATTTATTGTAAATGGTATCAGGAGTAGCAGCTGTCAGCGTAGTAATGGATAGATGGTGCCCCATGCATAAGTCAGTGGCATAGGGCATATCCCCATCTTGTAGTTACAAAATACACCACCATATAACTCTTATATCTGCATCAGGAACCAGAGCATTTGGCACACTCTAGGGTCACTAAGGTATGTAGAGGGATGAAGGAATGGAAGGAGGTGGGCTCACAGTGGCTAAAATACTAATATATCTTATAGCTGGGAGTAAATTGCTATGCTTTTTGGACTGGCAGAGCAAGGTTATATAAGTCACTGAAAAGTTGTCATTTCACTGCTACATTTGGGCTGGTTTGGGGTCAAGATAACTGTGTTACATCTGGCTTCTATGCAGTCAGTTCCAGTTTCTGAAACTGTCCTGAGTTTTGGCATCCTACTTAAACCTGAAATGAGAAAGGTTGATATAGTTTCAGTATAAATGATCCGGTAAGCACAAGGGCCTCTGCTGCCGAGGACAGCAAATTACCGTGGCAATGATGGAGTGAAAGCAAAAGTCATGTAGAGAGGGGCTGGGTCAGTGAAAGAGCTTTAAGTTTGGGATTTTTCTCCACCACGTAGGATTTTGACAGTAGCAATTGGGGAGTGGGGATGGGGGGAGTAGCAAATGATGCAGTTATGAATCCTGCCTGAGTGGATGTTGCCAAGAAATGAGATTTCATCTTGGGCTAGAAAACAAATGGTGCCATGGCCAAAGTTTGGGGCCTTGGAGGAGGAATGGGAACTGAAGCACTGTTCAAAATCCTGGGGGGGAGAAAACATGTGTAAGCCAAGGAAGCAAGACAGAGTATGCCATTGTGTGCCTGGACTGGGACAGAGCCGAGCATTCTGATTAATGGGCATTTTTGGGCATGGATCCGAAAAATTGACGAGGCAAATTACTACTTGTGTTGAAACAAGTGCGAGAAGAAAAAGGGGAAAATGCACATGGAAAACATCTGCTCTAAGAAAGCACTTTAAAAATAAGCATCAAGCAAGGGGGGAGCCAGAGAGAGATATTCTGTTGCATGCCACACAGATATGGGAGCTGCAACAGAAGAGAAAGCAGAGGAGGCAGAGTTAGAGATGGGTGTAAAGCAACCCCTCCTCCCTCCCCCCCTTCTCCCCCGATGCAGACACCCCCCTGCAGTCACGTTCCTCACCTTGTCTGAGACTGGAAGCCCCTAGTGCAACTTCTGCCCTAATTTTGCTGCTCACACCCACCTCAAGCAGTGTAAAAGAACTAGTACTGCAGAGGGGGAGCATGTAGACATGAAAATTTGGGGTGAGGGGTACATATCAACCTGTGAGAGAAGAGCGTGTGATGGAACAATCAAGCACAGGGTAAGCCATGAAACCTACATTCAGCTCCTTAATGTGCATTATAAACTCCCTCTGTGACCTTGGGCAAGTCACTTAGTCCATTTTATGGCTGGTGAGAATGAAAGGTCCAACCTGTGCTTTATTCTGCAGTTGCACTGAATATATTTTATTCCTAAATATCCATCTTGCTTGAAGCTCATGCATGAGCTCTCTTTCCACTTCTTCATAATCTCCTATAGGTTCTTCCCCATCTTTCTCACAATAGTCCTTTCTTACATATAGCCAAGCCCACTGCTGCCCCTTCCAGTCCTGAACCTAGGTTGGGTGGTGGCAGGTGGGTGTCACTAGTTATGTGATATTGAAGTTGTGGGGGACTTTAGGTACAGGGCCCTCTTCATGAAGAGGACAAGACAGAAAGTTGTTCATGCAAATTTAACATTTCGGCATTTAACTGTGCCACCTTAATATTCTATTAACATGGTTTTTGCCAAGGAAATGCATACATTTTGTAAGTTTTCCTCAGTAACTTTACATTCATGGGGCATTTAAACACATGCTCTGGAAGGCATGGGGAGGGGGGACACTTTAATTACCACAATTCTGAGAGCCACAGTAATTAAAAGCACCCGGAGCGTCACATGTATCAGCATCTCCACACTGAAAAATGGTGGTGGGGTGCTTTGAACTAAAACTCGTTAAGTGAGCTTTAGTTTAAAGCACCCCACTGCCATTTTTCATCATGGGGACACTAATGCACATGATGCTGGAGGCTGCTGGATCGTGTTAATTTCCATACTCCAACAGACTCAATTAATTGGGGCTGCTCCAACACCCTGGAATTATAGCACCTTGGAGCAGGCATCCTGCACATGTATAGGAGCCTAAGGATGTCAGAGCTCTGATGGCTTGTGAAAATTTGACAAGATCAAATTTAAATCTTGATTTGGAATGATTTGACAAGGAACAACAAAAAGCTCTGTCCCTTGTAATTTAAGAGGTCTCTGGGAGAAAGCCCTTATCTGCAGTGAGAAGCTTCTTAGCATCTTCTGCACTCGACAGGAGCCAAAACTGCCTGTGTCGCTTTCTTTTAAGGTAGCTGGTGGTGGTATATGCTGGAGAAAGGCTACTGGATTAGAGAGTCTGTTGATGTGATCCAGGTATAGCAGTTCCTAAACTCTTCTTTATCCACTGTCCAGGAAAAGATTTCCCTTAAATTTTGCTGTGTAGATGGGTATTTAAACTGCTAAAAGTTGAGTGACCCTGCTTTACCAGTTGATATATAAAAGAGGAAGTGTTGAGAATTTTTATATTGCATACCTGATAGCTCTTTGAATTTTGGGGGGAGGGGCCTTCCAAAGCTTAAAGACCCTAATTCCCCCAGATTTATATAATTCCTATTTTCATAATACGGTTTTGCATAGAAGCACATCAAAATACCCTGCAATTAGTGTGATCAAAGTATTCTAGTAAAATTTCCCCTGTGGCTGGGCCACAATCATCATTTGCATTGCAATTCCATGAGGAGCCACAGTTCTGACAGAGCCTCCAATGCGAGTTGAAAAGAAGTGTCCACAAATGGAAAGAGTCCTTGAGTGTACTCATAGGCTGAATTGTTAGTATTCATTTTTTAAAATAGGGAGAGTGAGCATCAATATTCCTATGACGAATAAGATAAATATTTCATTAAGAGCAGGTTTCATTTTATTGGTTAGAGAAATTGCTCACAAAGCAGAACACTTTCAGGAGAGGTGGGCCCAGTTTGCTTGGAGATGGCTTTGCTTGGAGGGGGTGGCCTGAGCATCAGGTGTGGAAGATCTAGCTGGCCAACCACATTTGATACTCAGAGTTGTCCTAGCCTTTTTGCCTCGGTTAGATATGTTCTGGGTATGTTGTAAATCAGCACAGCTCCATAGACTTCAGTTATTGAACTGTATCAGCTGAGGATCCAACGTATTCAGTTCCATGCCCTGTATGGGCCTTTTGAATTAAACCTGAAAAACCCAAGTCCTGTTTCCTCTGGATGGATATTACAATTCCCATTGTACTTATTTGCGACACTAGTGGCCTGTCTTGGTGACCTTGGCCATTGACTTACCATTGTTCTGCAGAGCCCTACAACCTGGCTAGCTGCTGCTTGCCAGTGTAGAAATGCTTCTTCATCTTAAGAGGTGTTGTGAAAAGGTAGCACTACTATAGGATCCTGTTAGACGGAGGTCCGTGTAATTTGTGGTATACCAGTATTTCATACTGAAAATGTGATGTCAGAACTAGAGTGTAGGTTTTCCACTTAGAAAGCAAGATTGTCATTTGCATTCCTCGCTGGGATTGCTACATGTACATGCCAATGTTGGGAAAATAGATTAGAACCTACTGAGACATTACAGTCTGCCAGTCTCTTGTGAAGGAAGGTATCAGCCACAAGGGAAGCTGTCCAGGAGCAACTTGTCAGTGCTCCATATCACTATCAAATTCAAATGGCTGTGTTTAAAGGTAAGCTGAATACCGACACTGGCAAAACCAAATGAATATGAACTTGGTGAAGATGTAAATTCCCTTATTGAGCCACACAAAAAATTGCTTAGGGCCAAAGTTAATATTCAGACTATTAATGAATCTCAGTGAGAATTTCCCAATGATAATAATGACGCTAATAAGATGCAACATGCCACTCCAGAACCGAAAAGCTGTGAAAGGTCATTATTTCAACACTTTCAGCCATCCTGCTTATTTGTATTACAACCCTCTTTCCTTAAACACAGCTGCCAATAAAGACTTTTTGTAGACCTGATAAATTCCTAGTTTTTGTAATTAATTAAAAAAAATGTAAATCATTGAAGATAATTAAAATTTAAAATAAATTATTTAAATTTATTTAAACCAAGATTCAATTGTTTTGATGGAAATTCAAAGCAAAATGAAGTTTTGCATGGCAAAAGTGTGCATGGCAATTTTAGTTTGAGGGTTTTTTTTCCAAACACTGAAAAGATTTAGTTGTCAGTTTTCCATTTATGCATTCCCCTGCTTCTCTTTTTTTTGAAAGGCTTTACCCCTAGGGGAAAAGGAAAATAAAACTATTTTTCTCTATTTTCTCTTCCAGCACCAATTCTCAGTAGAAAAAAGGAACAGAGGGGAACTGGGAGAGAAAAGATGGCCATCATCAAAAAACCAAAAGGCTAATTATTTTTTTTCAAAAGCTTAAAAGAAATAATAATTTGAAATAAAACAAAGCAAAATTTTTGTTTTGTTTCATTTCAACTTTACCTGTTGGGGAAAAAAATCACCAAATACATTTTTCCTGGTTAAGTTTTAATATTCAGTAGGAATTATCTGATGCCATAAAATGACTATAAACGTGCAAAAACACTTTTACAGATGCTCAGGAGCACATTCCTTACAGTCCAAAATTTCATCTAACCATTTAAGCAGATGCAGCCATAACAGTGTCTTTGGACTTGGCTAAAGACCATGTAGCGAGGCCTTGAAATACCAGTGATTACTATAGTGTGTGTGTGTGTGTGTGTGTGTGTGCGCGCGCGCGCACACACATGCGCGCACGTGTGCATGCATGGCTACGTGCATATGCACATACCTATAGGTCAGTGGCGTTCAAACTTTTAGCCCTGTGGGCCAGATGAGTGGCAGGGGGCCAGTCTACTGTCTGGCTGGATCCCCATGTATCAGAAGCAGGCCCCACGCTGCCTCTGCCTGGCCCTGGATTGTGCCTTGTGCTACCTCTGCCCAACCCCACATGCCAGGATCAGGCCCTGCACCACTCCAGCCCCATGTGCCTTAATCAGTAACTGCACTGCTTCTGTCTGGCCTGCATACCTGGGTTGGGTTCAAGCCCCCCAACCCCACAGTCTTTCCTCTCTTCCCCCCAGGTCTGGATATTTGGTAATAGGGGAGCAGCACATAATGCTGCCATCATTCCCTCCTGTTAAATTTTCAGGTCCATGGATAGCCCTGGCAGCCAGGTCTGGCCTATGTACCAGGGGTTGAACACCCCTGCTGTAGTCCAAAATGAAACCCATCCCCCAAAAACAAAACAACAAAACCCTCTTCAAAAGCTCTTTGAGGAAGCACTGGCTCAGAGAGAAGTGTTGCTTACTGAACCACCAGTATCACTGCCTGCACCAAGATGTTCTCTATCTAACTGCTTGCTCAGTTCAGTGTTACTTAGCTTAGGAGATCTTGATAGGGCATCAACAAGATAGAGTGGCTACTTACAACAGAAAGCCTTCTGCAGTTTGTCATGTTAGTGTGTTGACCTCTCTTTCATCTAATGAACTGAATGTCTGAATGTCCCTTGGTGGTTGTTTGGATATCTAACACCATGCTGTACCTGCATGACTTCCTAGAAACATTCTCATCAGTTGTTTGCTTTTTTTAAATGCCTTCTGACTTGCACACAGTCAGAGCTTTAATTTTAAAAGCTTGGCTGCAATTGAGGGGAAACAGTGGTCTTTCCCTTTAGCCCCTGGAGATTCTTTTTCTTCATTCACAGTGTGTTCTGGCATAAAAAGAAAAGGACGGAGAAGCTTTCTCATCAAAGGGCACTTGCAGTTCCAAGCTAGAAA